AATTGTAAAATTGAATAAGTATTTTAAATTTTTTAAAAAATAAAGAAAATTCTGTGAAGTCGGAGAAAATATTCATTGCTAACACCAAGCTGAGTAGCAAAGAAGCTCAGAGTTATCTTGTGACATAGATGCAAGGTTTTTTGGGAAATGTCCTCACATAAATCTGAAATACACTAAAATCCAAAATTGTCTGCATGAGTGGCTGAGACAGAGACCCCTTTGCTTTCTGATTATTCAATTTATTACAAACTTTGTTTCATACCAAAAAAAAAGTATTTAAAATATTGTGTATAAAATTATCTTCAGGCTATGCATATACGCTGTATATAAAACATAAATGAATTTCACATTTAGGCTTGGGTCCCATCTCCAAGATGCTTCATTGTGTATATGCAAATATTCCAAGTATAAAAAAATCTGAAATTCAAAATACTCCTGGTCCCAAGCATTTTGAATAAGGGAGACCCATCCTATATTACATTTAACTTTACTAGTATAGTCCATGTCACTGAAGACTGTCTGACGGACATCCTTGGTCTCTCCAGCCAGGACCCTCACAATTTATCCTGTTATTGTTTCACTTCTGCCAGGCTGGACAATTGCTTGGGTTATGCAGATGCTACAGTGAGAACTGGGCAAAGAGCCTGGACTCTTTTCCCAGCAGAAGAACTATTTCTTTCTCCTAACAAAAATCTAACCAGTTTCATACTCTGAGGCCCTGTTTAATTTTCTTGCAAAAAAACTGAGCTCACTTTGGCCTCTTATTTGTTTAAACTTTCAAGGGATCGGAGAACAAATTAAGTGGAAGACACAATTAGTCCTGATGATCATGCAGATAACCACAAGGTTACCAGAGCTTGGAATAGTTACTGCAGTGAACTACAAATCCCAGAATCTCAGCCAATTGACACTATTGGTTGGGAAGATAGTAATTTTAAAAATTAGATTGAATTGGTTTAAAAAGGTACTCCCCAACAGTGTGCATTCCTTAAAGCAGGAGTGGGAATCATACAGGCTTCTGGGTGTTATCGAAATGCAAATTCCTATTGCCCTAACTCGCATAGTAAAAGTTAAGGCATGCTGGGAATTGCAATCCAACAGCACCTAGTGGGCTTCATGATTCCACCTCTACCATGAAGATTCCACTATGCCATTGGTTCCCCAGCCTGTGGGTCTCTTTTTCTCCACCTTTTGCACTAGCTTCAGTGTGTTTTTCTTCCCAGCTTGTATATAGCTAGTGCTCCATGCTACATCCCAGTTAGAGAACTTTCAATTTAATCTTCATTAGCTAATCAGTCTAAGGAGTTAGTTTATGAAGCCAGGAAACACTATCCAAAATCATACTGAGAACAGACTACAAGTTGGCTATACAGTTGCCCCTCCGTTTTCGTGGACTTTTGAGTCCGTGTCCCTTCCCCATTCGCGAGTAGCAAACAGAGGGAGACGAAATGGGCCGTATGCCCATGGGCGCACACCGCCATTCAAGCCATTTTCGTGGGAGGGGGGTCTGGAACGGATCCCCCATGAAAATCGAGGGGTGACTGTACAGGAGTTTATTGCATGTCATTTAACGTGATTTACCACAGTCACATTAAATTCTGAAGCCAGATCTTATCACACGCACTGGGAGCCAGGGGAGTGCAACCTGGCTGCATCTTGGACCCCAGCAGTGCTTAGCTTGCATCTTTTTAAAAACGGAAAACTCCTGGTTTTGAAAAGATGCCAGCTAAGCACTGCTGGGGTCTGGGATGCAGTGGGGTTGCACTCGCCTGGCTCCTGGTGCATGTGATAAGATCTGGCTTTAGAATTTAATGCAACTGCGGTAAGTCGCATTAAATGACATGCAATAAACTCAACAGTCTGAAGCAGAAGGGGATGAGATTTAGATTCTAGGTTCAACAGCCTTCATAAGCTTATGGAAGCCACAATCCAACCTATATATTTCTTTAGAAATCAGACTTCTGTGCTAAAATTCCTGAGGTTTAGCACGAAAACCCTAGCAATCAGGAGCAAGGAGTATTTTAAAAGCCAGTTCCATGAACAGCAGCACTCCATATTCCTATATACAGATTCAATGTTTTAATAATAGCAAGAACAATAATGTGGAAAAGAAAATCTATCACCATCATCTCAAAATGCAAATAGGAAAGTTCAGAAAAAGGTTGCATTTCTAGGACAAAACTGACAAATATATGTACACATATACCAGAGCACCACAGCATGGGCCCTGAGGACATCCAAATGAATGAAAAACAGAGTCCTCTTGGGGAGCTCATCTGCTTTCACTGAACATTTTCATCACTGTCCCGATTTTCTTGTCATAAAGATGTATTATCACTTTCTTGACTGAGACTGAAAGATCCTACTTGAGCAACTTTCAAAATACATTACCATTCAGCAATGGCACTCTTGTCCTTCCCCACTCTTTTGACAACGCTCTTTTGCCCTTTGAGTAAGGGCTAAACCACATATTATATGCAGCTGTGTGCATCTTTTCTTGGTCTCTCTCCTTCTAAAAAAAAAAAAAACCAGAAGGCACTCAAAGCAGCCCCCAGGAGCTGTGAGTTTCAATAGAAAAATATAAGTGTTGACAGGGAAAGAGGACAACTTTACTTTCCCCTTCTAGACACTTTACTTCTCAAAAGCTATTTTCCTTCTGTGGCATGAAAGACATGAGATCAAATTTATTTTATTTTATTGGGGTGTGTTTCTATGCATTCACTTAGACCAGATTAAATCAATTTTAATAGAGAGCCAGTGTGGTATAGTGGTTTGAGTTTCGGACTACAACTCTGGAATCCTAGGTTCAAATCCTAGCTTGGACATGAAACCCACTGGTGACCTTGGGCAAGTCACAATCTCTCAGACTCAAAGGATGGCAATGGCAAACCCTCTCTAAAGAAACTTGTCAAGAAACCCCCATGATAAGTTTGCCTTAGGGTAGCCATAAGTTGAAAATGACTTAAAGACACACAACAACGACAACAAAACCCATTTAATTAATGACTAGGGTTGATGGGAGGTGCAGTCTAACAACATCTGGAAGAGTTCCATATGACTCCCATATGTATGGAGAGGACCTGGGGCATCATTTCCATCTTACCTGCACACAATCTATGACATTACTTGCAGTATGTGTTTCAGCCCTTGCCCTACAGTTGAAACTAGAGTTTGAGACACTAATCTGGATTGCAAAACCCAGACACAGACACCCCAGCCAGATAGTATGGACACTGAGAGTTGTAGTCCAAAGAAATAACTTTTGCAAGGCTTAGAAAGGAAGAAAAACTTGAGCATGAGCAGGTGGGTGAGTGGGTAGGAGAGAGGGATTGCTGACACAAGCTTTAATGCAAAGAAAGATGAAGCTAAGGATGCATTTCAAGAAAAGAGCTCTGTGTGCACCAATTGTGCTTTTTAGTGAAACATATGGCACAGGTAGGGAACACGGTTCACTTAATCATTAAGTGTTCCTCCAGATGCTGTCCTTGTAAAATGTCATAATAAATCCAGGCTCTTTACTTCTCTCTGGCTGTGGATAATTTTCTGATAATGAATCGGGTGGAAACTGGAAATTTCATCTGGACAAGGCTGAAGGAGTCCTGTGTCAAAGACAGCTTCAACATGCTGTAAACTGCAGCCAAAAACAGATGTCTTCCCTCATCTGCAAAATAGTTCTAAAATCTAGTAGTAATTCTTCTAGATACCAGACGCTTATACATGGTCAACTTAAAAGGCAAAAAAGAAGTGTCCTACTATCCAGCAGGCACTAGAATGGAATAGTCAGGCTTGGATAGAAATGCATGAAGACTTCCAGGTCAATAATACATCCCTCAATCTTCATCAGGAGCCATGAGAAATTCTTCTCTCTTACACAAATGTTGCCTCTGATTTTCCAGCAAGGCCTTGGAAAAGAGATCAAAAACAGCAGTGGATTCAGGATGCCACAAGATATAGTAATAGCCAGTAATTTAGGCTGCATCTGCACTGCAGAAATAATCCTGGTTGACACCACTTTAATTGCCATGGTTCGGTGCTATGAAATCTGGGAGCTATAGTTTGTTATGGCACAAGATCTCTGACAGAGAAAGCTAAATGACTCACAAAACTACAAATCCCACAATAATAATCAACCTGCAGATGCAGCCATAGACAGCAGGATTAGATAACATTCATTAAGCACAGTTTATCAATAGCCACAAGTACAGTGAGCCCTTCCTATATGCAGGGGATCTGTTGCGGACCACCACCACCCCGTGTAAGGCAAATAATGCAGGATCTCAAGTCCCGTTTGTTTTAACGGGCGCATGCGCCTGAGCGTGGTGCAGCACGTGCGCCGCAGGCACACACCCCATTCACTCTACCGGTGCTCGCCATCCACGTGACCCTGAGTCCACATATGGAGAACCTGTGTATGGCGTGGGCACGCTGTAATTGTGATTGTACTGAACCTCCACATTCAGTGACAGATTGCCATTGAATATTAGCTTGTGAGGAACATGATCTGTTGAGCCTTCTTGTGGGCTTCCCAAAGGAATCTGGATGGCCACTGTTGGAAATACAATGTCAGGTTTGATGGGCCTTTGACCTTACTTAGCACATCTCTTCTTATATTCTTACTAATACAGCAAATGCACACAGATTGTTATGAAGAACTTCTCATTGACAGCACATTACACTGATGTCCAAATGCAACTTTTTCCTAGCCCAATTGAGGGCCTTTACAGATTGCCAGAAATAATGCAGCTTGAGGCCACTTTAACTGTCCTGGCTCAGTGCTAGGAAATCATGGGAATTGTATTTTTTCTGGGACATTGAGCCTTCTCTGTCAGAGAGCTCTGGTGCCACAATAAACTACAGTTCCCATGAGTCCTTAGCACTGAGCCAGGACAGTTAAAATGGCCTCAAGCTGCATTATTTCTGGCAGTCTGTAAAGGCCCTGAGTTTTGTACTTTTAAACTCCTGAAGGATCTGAGATCCTTGACATGTGTGCACACACATATTTGTTGTTTGTTGCTGTGTGCCTTCGTTTCTGACTTATGGCAACCCTAAGGCAACCCTATCATTAGGTTTTCTTGGCAAGTTTCTACAGAGGGGCATTCCCTTCCTCTGATGCTGAGAAAGTGTGACTTGCCCAAGGTCACCCAGTGTGTTTCCATGGCAGAGCTGGGATTTGAACCCCGGTCTCCCACTACACTAGCCTATAAACCACTACACCAGCCTACATATACACATACATATTTGGGGAGATTTGAGGGCAGATGTGCATCAATACAGGGAACTCCCTCCCTGTTGAACACGTAACCTCCAGGCATTTTACTCAGCACTTGGAAATATTTAAGACGGATAGCAAATTATATGGAAGCAAACAGCACAGCAGCATCTGGGCCATATTATGCTATATACTAGTACTGTTAAAGGATTAGATGGGATATTTTTGTCATCAGCAAGTTCAATGGCACCTGGTGGCTCAAAAGTCCAGGGTGGCAGCTGGTGGCTCCAGGGGTGGTGAAATCCATTCCAAACTTTAACAGAGGTATCTGAGGTGCTGAACCTATTTGAGAGATAGTGTCCCACCATCACCTCAGACAGTAAGTAGAAACCTGACATTGTCCCACTGACAACAAAGCTACCAGCTGCCACGGAGCAGTTTGTTCACAATAATCCGAGGAGCTTGAAAAAGTGAGCAGCCAGACACGACAGCTCAGCAACCCGAACAAACTTTGTAGACAAGACTTGTTACCCAGAACTGATGGCACAGACTGGCTATGCACTAAAATTATTTAGGATGTACTGCTGGCCCTTTTGGCATTTTAAAGTGTGATTTTATTTCTTTTAAAATTCTATGTCATTGACTGTTGTTGTTGTTTTGTTGTTTAGATTCCTAAACCACTCTGGTAAATAAATTATAAATAAGCAATATGCAGAAGGTACTGCTGTTCACTTGAAGAGTCCAGCAAGGCAGGTTTAATGTGGAAGAGAAAAGAACAAGGAAAGGATATACAAACTTTTAGGGGGTGAAGAAAGCATCTTTTCTCCTCCCAAACCAGATTAAAAAAGGCTTTTGAATTAGGAAATGCTGCTGAAAAGATTCTAGCAGCATTGATGTTCCTGAACTGCTGTGGTAGTTATGCAGATTAAAACAACAACACTATAATATGGATGGTTTGTCATAAATTAATTCAATAAATAAGAAGTACCTTCAGATGTACATTAGAACATAGATTGTTTAGAGGGGGAAATGCAAACGTATTCTGAGCGTGCTGTATATTTGTTTAGAACATAATACAGCCGGTATCTTGGACAAGTCAGACTCTCTCAGCCTCAGAGGATGAGCAAACCTGCTCTGAAGAAGAAACTTGCCAAAGGTTGCCATTAGTCAAAAATGATTTGGAGGCACACAACAACAACAACAACAACAACAACAACAACAAATTGTGCCATTTGGTTTAGCAAATCCATACTTTGCAATGATTGTTTTTGACTGGTGTGCTACGCAACAGGGTTTACACTTAAAGACTGCAAACCCTTAGCAGAAAAGCTTTTGTGAGCCAGGTCCATCTTTCCTGTCAATTTCCCTTTGAATTCTCTCACACAACTGGGAGGCATTAATGGTAAAGACAGCTCATATCCATGAGAAGAAGACAGAAGAGAAAGAGAACTGGCCATCTGCTCTAACATACTTCACATATTCTTCAAACACCCTTAAGAAAACCAGTGACCCTCACTCAATCCAAGCAGCGGCCCTGCTCAATTCAGCAATGTTTCTCCTCCTCCTCCTCCTCCGCTTTTTAGGAAGCAAAAGATCTGGAAGAATGTCTGGAAGAAGACATTTTTAAAAGAAAAAAAGATGAAGGTAAAAGAATGTAATGGAAGAATTTCTTCAGTTCAACAATAATGTTTGAGCAAGACTTCCAAGGACCTATCTGTACATTCTGAATTTTTGCTTTAAGCTGCAGAGCGAACAAAACTTTGGTGCCAGCTTTAAAGGGGGGGGGCGTTATTTGAAAAGTTAACCCCCTGAACCACATTAATCCTCCTTTTGAACAGAGAGAATCACCATTTGGGGAAAGTTTTACTTTTTGAAAAAAAATGTTAATGGGCCAAAGGAGCATGAACTGATACAGTGACAAATCTTTATACTCGACATGCTAATAACGCTGTTTCTTCCTTCTCCCAGAGGTAGGGTTGTTCTAAAGAAGTTTCAGCAATGAGATCTCACAATGAAAGGCTCTCTTAGGATGAAACAAAATATGGTGAATATGCTCATGGCTCCCCCTGCCTCCCTGATGACCCAACTGAATGGTATTTAAGAAAAGAGAGTCTGAATAGAGATGGGAGAGGAATTTGAAGGGGCAATGCAGCAAGGAAAAGGGCACCCTAAAATTTATCTGCACCTGCAATATCATTATCAAACAGGCTACGCAATTCTAAATGCTTCATTTTTGTATTCATAAGAAACTGCTTTGTATCAGGTCCTGAAAAAAATAGCTTTTCTCAATTCTGTAAAATACCAGAACTTTTGGTAATTATAAGCTTATTAGGACATAACTCCAGATGAGATTTTTAACACAGACTCGCTGTCAAGATATTTCACCCAACACAGCATAACAATCTGAAAGTGCTCTCTCCTTAAAATATTTCCTTTTTTTTATTGCTGTGCAACTGCTACCTTACTTAAGGTTAAAGAAAAAATTCTTACAAGTGTATTCTCATTTGACAGAGCAAGGCATTTGCTCAGAAGTAAATAAAGTAAGCACTTCCAAAAAAGGGGATTAAACACGGCAAAAGATCAGAAGTTTTTCTGTCTGCACCTATAATCAATTTC